AAATTATTATATACCGGGTGTTTCCCAAAAATGGCTCGGCCATATAATTTTTTAGTTTTTCGGATAAAAAAAAACGAGATATATGTATTTCACACCGCCGCGCCACGCCGTCATGCTGATCGCATTAAAATAATATTGAAATCGTGGTTTTGTCATAATATTTAAGTATTTTAGTTATTGAGACTATAAAACACTCAGATAATAGATTTGTCTGATGTAACGCTGCTTCGGGTAGTAATCCGGGTAGTAACAATCTGAAGATATCAAAATATTTACTTTTCTATTTTTATTTTTATAATTTCACAAATTATACTTCCAACACTTTTAGAATAATTTAATAATAAATTTTTCGTATACTTGCTATTTAAACCCGTGTAATTGTATATATACTAGTTTTTTACGATATTCTCCGATGATGGCAGCACCGGCGGAGAATGCACCAAGCCTATAAAATGTTCGGAGTATAATTATTTCGAATTTATACTTGCTTTGTAGAATAGGCCCTAAATAGCAAATGTATGATGTCAAATTATTCGTAAAAAATGTTCGTAAAAAAGTTTTGTTATTGAGAGCAAACCTCTTCATACCCTAGACCATATGTACTTACGTGGATACGTAAATCACTATGGAAACTGTTGCAAACATGTCAACCACTTACATTTATCTTCTTTCTTTGTTACACACGCGGTGCCTCTACTCTATCTATCATTGTCAAGGACCTATCGTCCAAGCGCCAAATTTGAATATTTATTTTAAAAATTTAATTTGTAAAATGCATATACTTGAACAATAAATCGACTAACAAACAAAGAAATCTTGTCTAAGAAAAGATAATTCGTGGACCATTATATTAGAACTTCCACACACCAAACACTTTTTGTCATTTTTACGAGTATTTAAAAAGTCCAACGAAAAAAAAATAGAAATATAATTGCACAAACTTAAAATTAACTTCTCAATGAATGCACTTCCATCCTTGACTATATAAAAGCGATCGATAAAAAAGTAATTATTAATGCAATTTTTAAAATAAAAACAAAAAACAAGCGTCGTTACAGAACGGAAATAATATTATGATATATGATTATGACAATAATATGATAACAATGAACAGTTGGTTTCAAAAAACATCCCCCTTTACAATTTTTTCTTTAATGGCTATAAACGCGAGTAAAAAACTAACCGCCCGCACGACCGAACAAACACTAGAGGGGCCACTGGTCATCAAATGGTCTAAAAATTGCGAAAATTTAATCATCTAATTTTGACACAAGTGGTCGCGCTTAACTTTTTTAATTTTAATTCAATTTTCATTCTTTTCAAACTATATTATTTGACTTTGTTGTATTTTATGAATGTATAAATGTTTTCTTAGTATAAAGTTGCATTATAATAATTTAAATTTTATTACATATATATTTAAAATTTAAATATTATGATATACAGGGTCCGGCAATAGTGCGTCGGGCATCTGTAGCTCATAGAATAAAATACTTGAAAATTTTGTTTTAGTGCAAACCTAAAGTATGTACCAGGATGTATTTCAGGAAAATATTTTAACTTCTATAGGGTGGCTCAAAAAAGTGTGAGTGGACCTAGATGATTTTTTTTAAATGGAACACCCTGTATATTTTTGCATTTTTGGCTTTCTTTCCGATCACTTTACATAACCCTAAGATATGAATAAATACATTTCGATAGTTTCAGAGATATTAAAAAATAAATCAAAAATATATATTTTCAGCCCTTCTTAAAAAAATTATTAAAAATACAAGAACTGTTCTGAAATCAAAACTATATTAGGTATTTACTTTAGATAGTCTGTACTTACTTTTCTATAAATATGAATATCGTAAATTATACAGGATGTTCAAAATTCTACGCCAAACTTTCTAAAATATAAAATAATTTTTCTTCGTTTTATTAAACGGAACACCCTGTATATTATTTTTTTTATTAGATGGAGAGTTTAAAAATGAACATTTTTTGTATTTAGAGTATTTCAAATTTCTTAACGGTTTCGCAGATACACGCAGTATTATTTCATATGGCGCTTTCAATGGTAAAACACGAGAGAAAAATCATTGGGTGGCTTTGATAAAAATTTACTGTGGAAAATGCCATATGAAATATAAAACCGCAAATATCTGCGAAACCGTTAAAAATGTTGAAATACTGTAAATACAAAAAATGTTCATTTTTTAATTCTCCGTCTATTGAAAAAATAATATACAGGGTGTTCCATTAAAAAAAAACGAAGAAAAATTATTTTATATTTTAGAAAGTTTGGCGTAGAATTTTGAACATCCTGTATAATTTACGATATTCATTTTTATTGCAAAGTAAGTACAGACTATCTAAAGTAAATACTTAATATAGTTTTCATTTCAGAACAGTTCTTGTATTTTTAATAATTTTTTTAAGAAGGGCTGAAAAATATATATTTTTGATTTATTTTTTAATATCTCTGAAACTATCGAAATGTATTTATTCATATCTTAGGGTTATGTAAAGTGATCGGAAAGAAAGCCAAAAATGCAAAAATATACAGGGTGTTCCATTTAAAAAAAATCATCTAGGTCCACTCACACTTTTTTGAGCCATCCTATAGAAGTTAAAATATTTTCCTGAAATACATCCTGGTACATACTTTAGGTTTGCACTTAAACAAAATTGTCAAGTTTTTTATTCTAGGAGCTACAGATGCCCGACGCACTATTGCCGGACCCTGTATATGTCAGTTGCCGTCTAAAATGTCATCTTGATAACAAAAAGTTAGTTATTGTCAAAAATAGTTAAAATCATATTAAAACATTAAAATTCACAAGTTATAATCAGATATTTTATACTATTTCAAAAACAAAAACATAATGGTACAGGGTAATGTTGATATGCAGGTCCAAAACAAAAAGTGTTGTTATATTTTTTTCAGTTTTCGTTGTCAGACACGGAAGTTATTTCACTGATTTTTGTGTCGTCGGATATTTTTATTTGTGAAATAGAAATATTGCGTTTGGATTGCAAAACTAAAAGTGGAAGTTTCATTGCAATGTAAGTAAGCGTTTGTCCATTTTATATTTGACTTTTTTCATACCTACGATAAATATACATGTATTGAAATTTTATAATTCGTTTTATTTAAAAAATGTTAGAAAACAAGCCTGTAGTCCTTAATTGACATAATTGCTATGTAATATATTTCATTTAAATGTAATAAATTACTTTACAGTTAAAAAATGTAAATTTTAAAAATATATACAGGCATTAATTGAAAAATTTTTAGTATGCGACCAAACACGAGAGGCGCTTTATTATTTACTTTCATTTCTTAACGTGACAGATGAAGTTCTAAAGGGGGATGTTTTGTGGATGGTTTCCATAACAATGTATAATTTGTACTTTCTAAACCTTATAAAATTGTGATTATTTTGGAAATACGTTCAAGTTTTAATGCGCATACGCGAAGTAAGGTCCTCGGAAAAGGCAAACCTATTGAATATTTCATAAATGCAATAAGGGTTTGAAAATGGCATTTCGTGATGTTGGAGACCCCGTTTTTAATGGTAATGGTTTGGCGTTTATGCACCCACGTAAGTATACAGAGTGAGTTCCTACGATGTATTTTATGTTTTTGTGTTTTCAATAGTGTTCTAATTTCGTTATGATTTATAACTTATAAAAAGACAAAATATATTATTAAACGGCTCTTTACAATTTGCATTACACAAACTAAAACTTAAGAAAATAATATCACTACAAGTTATTTTAGAAAATTTTCAAAAAATCGGCAATTGTTTTCAGTACATAAATGCATCTTTATAAAACTGAATTTCTAGCTATTCTCACAGAACGACCGGTCGACTTAATTAAACTTCTCCTGTTTCGCCTCTTCGAGTGCTTCTCTCAATTCATAAGTTCTTTTGTACCTTGTTGTTACCCATACCGCATAAAAAAAATCTAAAATGGATAGGTCAAGTGACCGAGGAGATCCATGCAATTGGTCTACCTCTTTCTATCCCTGAGTCTACATAATTATGATATAAATAATTTTTAACATTTCTTTCAATGTGGAGGGGGGAGGGGTTTAGTGTGTCATAATGAAATTCATGTTTGAACCACTCTATTAATGCGCTAGTATCAAAATTTAACTTTTCTAACATGTCTTGAAAACCGTTCTCTAAAAAACGTAAGTAACATTCACCGGTCAACGGCCAACGTATCTTCGAAACTGTATGGCCAAGAAAAATTGAGCCAATAATCCTACACGCTTTTCTTCATTTGAAAAACTCTTATTTACAATTTTTGTTTATTTTAATATAGAAAGATTGGATGTGACAATTTCATATTTCTGAGAGCGACGACGATTCAACTTGTTCCCATGGCTAACTAAGTGAAATTAGTCAAGAAAGATAAGAATTGGCTATAACTCAGTAATTTTGCGAAAGAAACACATTATAGCTTATATCGCTGAAAAGCTTAAAAATTGGCGCTTTTTATGAAGTCATGGCCAACTATGGTTTCCATTTAATAAAACATATGTTTGTGTCATATGTCAAAAATGACAGGCTTTAGAAAAAGTCGGAGAACACAATCTCATTAGGGATGTGATTATCTACAACTTTTATCTGAAAACTAATTCTCTAAAATAGATTATAATGGAATTAGGGACAATTTTTAAAATAGCCAAAATTTGTTTTTATCGAAATATCTAGTAAGCCATGAACTTTTTCAAAAATCTGAAAAGCGCATATTTATGACCCCACAAAACTGCAATTCTTTCCCCATTTAACCGACTCTCTATCTCCAGTACTTTCCGGGATACCTATAGTGAACATCGTAGGAAACTCACCCTGTATATGATCCAGGATTCATACAAACAGAATGTAATTAGCAAAGCTAAACTCTGCTGCAAATGGGCATTAGTGATACACAAGCTAATACTAAAAAATATAAACAAAATTTGACACACGTCTCAAAAAGATCGCCTTCCCTGTACTAACCTCTGGTCCAAACTCTGCGAAATCCTTCAGTCTCGGCAGCCCAGTCAACTCCCTGTAATCGTTATACGACCTCAAGCCGTGGTCTCTTCCTCGCTGTATGTTAATAGAAGCTAAGTCCACGCCGAAAGGATTCCCACCTCTAAACATGTATCTGGTCAACTAGAAACAAAATAGTTAATAAAGTAGTTAACCCAATCGCCAGTTAATCGCTTACGGCTTCCGGCATGAACGGATCGACGTCCTGTATCGGTTCGGTCGTGAGGGTGCTTAGGATTTCGTCCAGGAACTTTTGGTGCCTCATGCGCGACGGATAGAACATTACTTCGGGGATGGCGATGGATTCCTCCATTTTAGTTGGGCCGTAAAGTCTGTAAGGGCAAGGCAAAATATTAATATGAAAATAATATGACCATAATATGGTATGAAACCAAAAACATCTAAATGGGTAGACAGAACACTCCATTCATGAAACTCAATTTTTTACTTTGAATAAGAAGACTAAGGAAGGAGCATAATGCTATCCATGTATTCATGCATGGTGGGCGGAAAAAGCACTCTAGGGTGGGGATCCTTGACAGTTCTGTTTGACGATTCATTTGACACATTTGAATTTGATTTGAAATTTTGTGGATTTGTCAGTCTTTACGGAGCTTATTTTATGTTATTTATTATTTATTCTACTACTGATAGTTGTATAAAGGTAGCAAATCTAGATGGAAATTGTGGCAGAACTTAAATTAACAGTGACACTATCGCGATTTATCGAAAAAGACTCTAAAATAGTTGGTTGTGTAGCGTGCGGTATATCTCGGCAAAATTGAGTGAAATAATGGAACAACTTTTCGCTAGTAAGTGACTATATAATATACATACGTGTAGTAAACCGATCATTTATGAAATTCACTTAAATCAACTAAATTATATATTTTTCTTGTATTTTAGCTTTTAATTATTACTTATTAAAGATTAGATGTCAAAGAATTTAGATACGTTAATTTGACTTACCTGCTTCAGTAGCGTATCGGATGTTTGTGTTAATAAATACTTATTATAAATTATCTATTTTTATTAGAATCATATATTTTTATAACAATTTTAATAACTACCAACATTTATTCACAAGGTAAAATAAAACAACAAATTATTGAGTCTACCCCACGTCTACCCTACATCATAGTTTTACATTTTTTAAATAAAATTAGAACGACACTGATAAACCGGAATTTAAGTCGGCCATATTTGAGGCCCATCGCGGTGTACCTAAGATTTTTGATATGCTCCTTCCTTAGTCTTCTTATTCAAAGATTTTTTAGAATCATACATGGTTTGACACTGTTATGAGAGTTAAAAAGAGATAGGTACATAAATATGACAACACGGTTGAGTTTCCTCTATCTCTCTGTCATTTGGCTCTATCAGTGGCGTGATGTTTTTTTATCAAAAATTGATTAATTTTATCAAAAATTGATTAGGATTGCCTCAGACCAATATGTTACAACTTCCTTTAATTTATACAGGGGTACCAAAAATTGCTGATATATTTTGAGGATTTATTTTAGATAAAAACTTCGTTATTTCAAATGCAACACCCTGTATTTTTTAAAATAAATCGAAGAAGGTTCAAATGGTTTTTCAAACTATATTAGGGTCTCCTATACCTATCTAGCTCAGATTTTGAATAAAAAACGATTTTTAAATAAAATGGCAATCAAGATGGCTAGTGTCGCCACGGCAATTTTGTATTGACAGTTAGTAACTATTTTCAAAATCGACATTTATTTGTTTATGGACATTATTATTTTGAATTTATATAAGTTGGCTTTTTAAAAAAAAATACCTACAATAGTTTAATAAGTAAGTATTCATTATTTTATCAAAAAAATAAAGCAGTATCTGCTGGCGGAACGAATGGATATGTTACCAGTGATTTTATTTTGTGAGGAAAATTGCTTCTTAGCCTCAAGGGCTTATGCTCAAAGATACCCAAATAGGAATCTTCCTGATAAGCTTTTCTTTGAAAAACTACTAGTCCTATTTCGCAGAGCTGGTAGTGTGGTTTATAAAAAACCTAATAGGCAGAAACCTGTCATTGGAAGTGAAGAAAATGAATTTGCCGTAATTGGCTCTTTTATAGAAAATCGATACATCTACACAAGTCATCGTAAAATAAATCAAAGAACTTCTTCGTTTTTCTTTGATAGAATAATAAATACATATTTAATAAATAATATTTATTAAACTATTGTAAGTAAATTAAATAAAAGTAAACTTGTATAATTTTAAATACGTCTATAAACTAATTTTCTGTCACTAGAAACTTGCCATGACGACACTAGCCCTCTTGGTTGCCATTTTATTGAAAAATTGCTTTTTATTCAAAATCTAAGCTACATAGGTGTAGCATTTTATTTAAAATACACATAATTTATATAAATGTACAGAATTATTTTATTTAAATAAATCAAGTTTAAGTCCTCGCACCGAGATGGCATTCTAAGTACTGCTATTATCTTTTATTTTTTTCTTCAAGTTTATTTCTGGCGAAATATTTCAGTCCGGTCGAAGTTTGTTGGTCACTTTATATCCGACGGTGTATAGTCACACTTCGTGCCTACCTTCCCTCGCCATATTGATGGTAAAGGCTCAAACCGATAGAGCTATCGGCGTTTGTTGGCATTTTGCCAATTTGTTTGGGAAAACCCTCTGAGCAGAGGTAAAACTTTTATACTCTGTTTTTTTTCTCAGGTAAGATTTCGACAGACGATGACAGAAGAAAAGCAGATGACGTCCCATACCAATCTATTTATTTTACTAAAAAAAGTTTCTAATAATTTTTAAGTTATCTATGGATGGGTTTAAATATAAATCCGTCATACGTCATGTCTTGTTGTTTTTAACCAGTTTTATTGGTTTATTTAAAAAATGACAGATCGTATTTCAATTTTATTGGTTTGACGGAACGATGAACGACAAACGGACGCCGATGCGTATGAACTCGCCTTTAGATTTTTGTCATTTTTGACGCTTGTCAAAGTCTTGCCAAATTCTAGGTTATAATTTTGTGTCAACTTTTGTTAAATACCCTGCGTTTTGGAAGATGATGCATTTTGATTCGTATTATTACGTGTGTTTTGTGTCTTTTGAAGTCAAGTGGAGGAAAAATCGAGTGAAAATTAACTGTAGACCCAGAGCACAGTTTATGGTTAATATTCGCTGCCCAGGCAGAAAGTCTTATACACCAATGAAGTTGCCATCGATAAAGTTTGTATACCATTTCGTCGTAGATAAGTGCATCTCATATATGGTAGAAAGGATCAAACAAAACACATACTAAAAACTCGAGTAGCTGTAAAATATCGACATCACACGATAGGTAAATAATGGATTTTAGTACTGCAGAAAAATAAAGGTACTGGTTTAAAAAAATTAAGATTAAAGTTAATTAATCAACCTTTAAGGTATAAAATTTGGTAGGTGTTATTATTAATAAAATAGTTTGTTTTATTTGCCTATATTGTTTTATTTATTCCTGTGGAATATTACAAATTTGTATTTGTACATACAAGTTATATTGATAAATATAATCATAAATGCGGGTAGGTAGTTTCATAAAGCTTGAAAGTAAATAATAGTTATTTTTTATATTTTTTTGGTATGTAGTGTCTTGTTCTTGTTTGTTTTGTATTAACACATACCGTTTTTATTAAATAAAATAACTCGATTACATTTTTTCAGTTTTATACAGTTTTTTTTCACAATATTTTGAAGTGATCACTTGTCATCTTGTCAATCAAATTTTAAATATTTCCTGCTATGCGTTCCAGTTGTACCAACTTATTTTATGGTAAAATAAAATAAACTACTTTGAAATTAAAATGACAGACACATCTATCACTGTCAAGGATCTTCTCGTTGGACAGACTTTATTTTAAACGTAACGTTTCCTAATACTTTTTTTTGTACAGGGTTTTATTTTATGGTACGCATTTTTTATGGTAGCATTTTCTGGTGCCATTTTGTTTGTTGTACCTGACATTTGGGCCACGTTTTGTCCCTACATTTCACACCGGGAATAACGGAGGAATCCCTGAATCTACAGAAGTTTTCGATCCTGAGTGCGTTCCACTAAGCGCTCATAATGCTCAAAATATGCCCTCGGTCGTTCCACATGATGATCGCGGACGTTGTGGTTGGGGCGAAAACGTCACTAATGACGTCATTATTTTCGCTCACGCCGAGCTAACAATGACCCATCTGAATATTAGGATCAAAGTGGACGTTGAGGAATTTTGGCGCAATTTTTAAAACTTAGACAAAAGACTTAAGATAAAAAGTTTCATAGATTCTCATAACCAATAATACATGGCTTAAGTTTTCGCTTTTTACGATCGCGATTTTGTAAAATTGCATTCCACTATTCGTCTGAACTAGATGAAGAAGATTCAGACACATTCCGATGCACCAAATATCCAACAGTCGCCAAAGACATTTTGATTTCTTTTTTTTTGAGACAGATTTTTTGAATTCTCTTCTGTGATTTTGACTATTATTTACTTTTTACATCTTATTTACATACATTGACAGGATTGACGCTTAAAACGCCCCATAACCCATTCCACTTGAGTTTATGATTGTAACGCTCGCAAGCAAGTGGAACGGGAAAAATCGCGATCTTGAGCGTGAACGTTATGAGTGCTTAGTGGAACGTACTCCCTGTCTGTGTAGAGACGTTTTTATCACAATCCAGTTCCAGTAGCAGTTCACCACAACCAGCTTGTGATCAGAAGGGATAAAAAAAGCCAGATCATTTCATTTTATATCTATTTAATTTAAGTTCATTTGAATGCATTAAGCCCTTCAGGCATATTATATATTTGATTGCTTTAGAGTCACTTTGAAATATTTTATTCATGTTATGCATATTTCTAATATCTACATAGTACAGTTTTTTTAATATAAAGAGTCCCTACATTTTGGTACCAAGATCGCCAGACTTTTTGCGGAACAATTAATAAAATATTAACATTCAGAAGCGTGCAGATTTAACTACCATTTTGAGTGATCTATTTTGATACATACAATTTACCAACAAATATTTTCAAACATCAAATTTTTCATAGTCTTATTTTATTCTACTTAACATTTAATTATTAATTATATTTAGTTAATAGTTCATCTCAGCGTTTCATTTGTGTAATTCCTAAAGTAAGTAATACCTATATTCTGAGTTGATTTCTCAGTTCTCAACTTAGAAGTATCACAATTTAATTTTCACTAGCTTACGACCCATTGCTCACCGGCGAACAGCTCCGTCGCATAGTATTAGTTGTTTTAATATTTTTTCCAAAAGAAAATTCTTATAAAAAAA